CCGCACCGCTACCGGGGAGCAGCGCACAATGACGGTGGGCAGGTCCTCTTCCAGACACCACGCCGGCACCTCCGGCTCCGTGTTCGGCACATACACAACGGTCGGCTTTATGCGGTAGGTGCGCCAGACGCGTCGAATAGCGTTCGCTCCGCCCACGACACACGCAGCGTTGCTGTGACGGAGGTGCCTGTTGCTGCGTAGCACCTTCGTGCCGGTCCAGAGCTTCTGCCCGTGCAGCTGCTGCGTAGGAGAGAGGGAGTAGCTGTCCTGCACGTCTTCCAACACGACCGGCTTGGAGAGCTGGAAGTGTGACGTCGGAGACGGCACCGGACGTCGTTGGAGGTGCAGGTCCTCCGCCTCTGATGGTGTTGACGTGGTCGAACTTTGATTTGCGTGCGCGGAAGACGCCGTGGAGAAGATCACCTGCGCCTCCGCCACATTCTCTACACCATTCGCTTGGTACGCTCTCCGCTTGCCTACCTGCGTGCCGGGTCGGTGAGTGGAGGGGGATGCGGAGGTGGTAAAAGAAGGCCTCCGCGAGGCGTTCCGCAGCAGTCCCCGTGTGAAAGCGCGCATGGGTTCTTCGCTAGTAAGAAGAAAGAACAGGGGGAAGGCGAGAGAGAGGAAGGAAGAAGTGCAGCCGCCACTCACAATCAGCAAAAGAAAAAGGTGGAATGCTAGAGTGCGGTGCGTGTAAAGCGAGGAGAGAGAAAAATCAAGCGAGCTTCTCAACCTCCGCGAAAGGTAACAGACGCATATGTATATATATATATATCCCTTTTCGGTGTCGTAGGTGTGACCACCGCCGAACAGGTGTCAGGCTGTATTCCTTCTCTATTTCTCGCCAGTGGAACCCCACAACGTCATGCGGATCAGCAGCACCGCGATTGCAACAGTGTGAAAATAAAAAAGAGAATGCACCAGCAGTCCAAAAACAGCAGCAAGAGCAGGAGAGATAGCAAGAAAGAGAAAGGGAAGAAACGCGGAGCGGTGCGAGGAGATTGCGTCGGTACGAGTTTTGGTTCCCTCGACAGCCACACCGCCAAGCTCACAAGGTTCTTTAGCGGAAGTTGGGGTGTGAGCGCATGCTGCGGCGCCACCCCCCCGTCGCCGTCCCCGCTCGCGAGAGGCGAACATCTTCCATACCATCGCTCTCGCGGTCGAGCGCCTCGCGCAACTCACGCGGCAGCACGTCGTGCGTGAAGTTGTCCCACTCCGATTCCTTCCCTGCCTCCACCGCCTGCTGCCGCTGCACATCGCGGGTGCGACGCTGCTGCATGCGCCGCTTCCGCTCCTGTCCTTGCTGAATCACTTTGCTCAGCGTCAGGTCCTGACGGAACTCGCGCTTCTCGCGACTCTTGCGCGTGACGAGGTAGTCGGCGCGGTGGTGCCACTGTATGAACGTCTCCTGCAGGAACTTCTCCGTTTTGCGCTGATTCTTCGTGAGCAACCAGCAGAAGTCGTCTTCGGCGCGTGAGTGCACGCGCTCCTTGAGCTCGTTGCTCCAAACAATGTCGGACGAACTCGTACCGCCCTCGGAGTGGTTGCGCAGACCACACCGCAGCCGCTCCTGGTCATTCATGTAATTCGCCAGCAGCTCCGCCTCCTTGGTCGGGGGCAGCAGAAAAGAAAGCTCCGTGAAGAACCACTCGAGCCGTGGAATGCACTTCACCTCCTCCGCCAGCGCCATGACCTGGCCAAGGAAGAGATACTGCGCACTGTGATTCAGGAAGTCGAAGCGCTTGCCAACACGCAGCTCTTCCGTTTCGGGCACGGTGTTGCTTGGGATGAGATACCACCCCGCCGGTTTGCTGGTCCAGCAGGAGGGCACCATGGCGATGGTGCTGGTGACCAGCCGTGACACACGTGTTGGTCGGAGCATGACAGGCGAATAGCACTCAAAGGAAACAAAGCGCTACTCTTCTCACTGCGCAAACGAAGGCGGAGAAAACAAATACAAAAAGAAAGGGGGATGCCAAAAGAGATGTGAGCGGAAAAGGAGGAAATAAGTGAAGAAAGCGCACGTGCTCAGGAGTAAAGGAGAGAAAAGGCGTAGCATAGATACGGTGATCCCTTGCAGGCTGGTTTCAGCGGAGCCTTTCCTCACTGTTCAATCCAGAAGATTCGCAGCGACATCGATATTTCTTGACGTTGATCAAAGACACACACACACACACACACAGGAGTGCGTTTCACAGTCACTGCAAACATGTCGATGTATAAGAGCCGAGGTGTACGAAAAGGTCAGGTAGTGTGTGCAAAGCGCCGTAAGAACTAAGTCTGATAAAACGCGAGGCAGCGCGAGGAATGTTGCCGTCGTGAATACTCGCAGCAAGGAAGCCAACATCTCCCGGTGAAAGAGACAACGCTTCTGTTTCATCTTCCTCTTGCATTCGGAGTTCGAGCACGAGCACATTTCTCCGCGATTTTTGCAGCTGCCTCTATCGCAGCGCCACGCAGTGCGGACACATACCAATCGCTTCCACCACAAAGCTGTTGCAGGCGTCGCAGCGGTAGGAGGCACACGAACTGCACTGCCAAACATGCGCCCCCTCCGATGCCGCGGAGGCTACCGTCGCAGGTTCGGTGGTCGCCGTACGGGCCGCGTCTGCCGGAATGTGGGTCATGCAGAGAGCACAACGTATGGGTGTCTCCGCCGTGGTCTCCACCACCTCTGCGGTAGAGGTGGCACCAGTCGACAACAGCACTTTAACCTCCCCCGTTTCCGCCTGCTGCGCGGACACGCCTGTCACACCGCGCACCACACGAAGCCGCCTCGCCGCCGGGACGAGGTAGTTGTGTGCGACGTAGGTGCTGTAAAGCATCGGTGCGCTGCACAGCAGCAGGCGACACAGCGGGCACGTCGTCGGCACCGATAGCTGAATTAAGTGGCACTGCGGGCAGGCTAAGTAGTAGGAACAGTTAGCGTCGGTTGCTGTCGTCCTTGCTGACGGTGCTGGTGCTGTAGTGATGGACTGCTGTTGCTGGGGTGGCGGAGGAGGAGAAGGAGTAGCCTTCAAATACACTGGACAGCCAATTGGAATGAGATACGGCGCATCCGCGTCCTCGTCATCTCTATCCTCTCCGTCATCTTGAATCCCACTTGTGGAGCTGCGCACCCGCTTCCCACGACGTTGCCGCTGACGCCTTCGTTTTGCCTCCGCTGTCGCCGCGTGAGCGCGGTGGGCTGTGGCCAGCTCGTCCACGATCTGCAACAAGTGATCGTAGTTCATCGGGCAGTACAACCTGCCGCCCGTCTCCAACGCACACACGTCAAACACGTGAACAGCACCGACAAGCGAGAGGACGTTGATGCGGACGGACAGCGCGGCCATCGTGTTCACCACGTTGAACACATCCGTCGGGTCAATCAGCGTTACAGCCGCCGACACGATCAACACGTTGAGCTGCGTCGCGGAGCCTTTCCACGTAGCCCGCGTGCTCGCCGCGAGAGACGCCGCCGCCGCTGCTGCCGCGCCACCAGCACTACCGTTGACCTTGGATGTGCTTGAATGCGCAGCCACCAGCGCGGCCACCTTACGCATGTCCACCAACTCCGACATCGCCATCCGCAGTCCGTTCTCGAGGGACATGCTGCCGGAGCCGCCGTGCAGGAAGACGTCGCGCTCCAACACATCGACGATTTCGTTGCGGTTTGTGGTGCAGGGCAGCAGGCGGTGACTCACGCCGTCGCGCATCACGACGATGCCGAGGGAGGCGAGCGGGGTCGAGTCGAGATACTTCTCCACGAGCCGCAGCAGCGGGGGCCGCATCGCGAGGAGATAGCTGGGCAGGTAGTCGGAGCTGCTGTTCATGGCCTCGCTGCCGTCCATAAGAAGAACGGTGCGTAACATGACTGCGTCGGGGCGCCTGCTTCTCACAGCCACGTCTCTCTTCTTCTAAAAAAGTAACTCGCGTTACTGTGCCGGCCAAACCCAAAGGAGCGCGGTAGGGAGAGAGAAAGGTGGAAGGAGCGAGAGAGGAAGGAAGATGTGTCACCGGCAGATCTATCCGAACGGCGTGCTCCGCCTCGCCTGTTGTGCACACGAGGCACACAGTTCATCAAATCTGGGCCCGCACCCTTCAAAGCGTGCAGCTGAGGAGGCGCGAAAGAAAGCAAGAAAAGAAGCCAACGTAACACCCCACGTGTCAGCGTCTCTCACGAGCCGATATCTACGCACACGGGGACCAGTCCCAGCCTGTCCAGCTGCCCTGTTCGTTTGCGCTATTTTTGACTGATCACCTTGCGTGTGAATGCGTGGGCGCCTCGGTGAAGAGGCGCCACGTAAGCAGACTCAGCTACGATAGATAAATATTGAAGAAGCACAACACCATAAAGCGACGAAGCTACCGTGAATCACCCCGCTCCTCTTCGCCTCGAAATCCAACAGCAGCAACAACAGAGAGCAGCTGCATTTGCTCGCGTGCGGGGCCTCTCTCTCTCTCCTACCTTTTTCCTTTTCCTCCCACGACTCTACTCACGCCGTGCGCATTTGGCACACATGCAGTGAAACCCGCGCTTTTCCAACTCAGCCGTGCGCGCCGCGTAGGGGAGATGCATCAGGTGAGGGTAGTAGGTAATCGTCAACTCCTCCCCACGCGCGACGTCGCGGGTGGCAATGAGGGCCCCTGTCCGCGCATCCTCCGACACGTTGGCCGCACAGGAGTGATTCAGCATAGCGCGCGGCAAGTTCAGCTCCACGCCGCCGTCACGGTGGAAGCAGTTCGCCGTCACACGCGCTAAGTCCCCGATAAACTCCTCGTAAGAGACGATGGTGGTGACGTGCAGGGCACGGGCAAGCCGCTCATACAGGTGCAGCATCGACCCGCACAGCACCGCGGGGCTGAAGGTGAGTCGTCCGGACAAAATGCGGACCTGACCGAGCGCGGAGGGCACCACCTGCATTTGCAGCCCCGCCGCCACAAGCCGCAGCGTCAGCAACTGCGCCGCGGCGGCATTTTGCTCCGCCACCCTACCCGCCATTTGCGCATCCTTCAGCTGCGAGAACACATCCAGTTCGATGCTCTGGAAGTCCTTGTTGTGGCATACAGCGGCGTGGTAAAGCGACGAGGCCTCTGCCCGGCACTCCCGACTGCAGTACTCCTCATGGCAGTCCTTATTCTCGCAGGCGAAGCTGCGCTCTGGCAAGGCGGTGCCGCAACACGCACATAAGCCTTCCTCCGTCGGGTACAACATCCATGGACTCGTTGGTTGAACCACCGTTGTGTTACGCGGCAGGTTCTCTGCGGCCCGCACGCCGCGGCCGACGGCGTCGTTGATGTGCTCTACCACACACGACTTCGACAACATTGGCTTTACGAAGATGTGCAGGTGGGAGTCAAGAGCAGGGTACACGCCTGTCTGCGTCGTTGGAAACTGATCCACTGCCTTCATGCAGCGGCGTTGATGGTCGCCGGAGAGGGTCAGCACCGAGGCGGCTGTGTTGTAGTCGGCCAGGGCAAAGTAGGGCATGCCCAGCGCGTAGTAGGCATTGCCGCGGTAGAGGAACGCCTCGGGCGGGGTCTGCGGGCCCAGGGTGTTGATGACGGTGTGGCAGTGCCGCTTGAGCTGCTCCGCTCCTCTCCAGGCCGCCTTGACGGCGCGCAGACTCATCTTGGCGGTCGAAATAGTGTTTGCAGTTTGTTTCCTCTTTTTCCTTTAATAAGTGTAATCACCCCGGTATCGAAGCCGCACGGCGAGCACCAGTGCTGCTGAAAAGTCGCACTTCGAGAGAGTAGCAGAAGGAGCTCGAAGTAAGAGTGTCCGGGCTCACTAGCCACAGCACACGCACACGCACACACACACAACAGCAAAGTGCGGCTGCCTTCCTATTCCCCCCCCCCCCCCAAAGCGCGCTCTCTTTCACTACACGTAACACGTTTCGTGAAGGACACGATGATCCTCATCATGCCGGCTGGACACGTTCTCCATCCAAGCCGAGGTGAACGAAGCCCCCACCGGCAGAAACAAGAATAATACTAGTAGTAGTTCGTTCTTTTCAAAAGTATTTTGTGCCCGCGAACGCTTTCACAGAAGATTATGGAAAGGAAAAAAAGGGAAATCAGGAAACACTAAACCAGCAAATCAGCGACACTTGACGAGCGGCGCACTTCGCAATTGCGCTGCGCATTCACCAACGATAAGGATACTTCTCACTTCCAAAACACCAAGCTGCCAACTTGAAAAAAAAAAACGGAAGGGAAGGAGATAGGGGGGAGGCTCACCACCACACGTAGGAGGAGCCCGTGCACTTGCTACGCTCCTCCTCCACCCACTCCCGCTGACGGTGCATGAGCGCTTCGTAGCGGCGCAGCTGCCGGTTTGTGGCGTCCAACCGCGATGTGTTGAGCGCCACCAATTTATCGACGCTGAGGCCCACCATCAGACCCAGTGCCCCTCCCACCGCCAAGCCAGACGTGGCCATGCGCAGCGCCAGCCCTACGTCGTTTAACACCCACCACGGCAGCACGCCGACCATCGCCCCTGAAAACGAGAGCCCGAGGACGTAATTCGCGGTAGAGCGGTGCTGCGCATCGTGTGGCGGTAACGTGTGTTGCTTTATCCGTTTCATGAGTCGGTCCCCCATGCAAAACGCGATGGCGAAGAGCGTGGTGTTGCCGCCCCATTTCACGACGCTCGCAAAGACGGACATGTTCAAGATGGAGAGCACACCGACGCCGGAGGCTTTCAGAAACTGCACGTCCACGTTCACCGCCTGGACTGCCTTTACGGTGCCTTGGAAGAGGCCAATTGCGATGCCGCACTTCATGCTGAACCAGACAAAGGAAGGGGTGGCGTCAAGGAAGGCGTCGAGGCCGTAGAAGTCGACGCGCGGGCGGTACTCGTTCACCACCTTCGTTAAGGGCTTCCCCGTCTCGACGGACTCCATCAAGGCCTGCCACGGTGCACTGAAGAAGCCGAGTTTGTGCTTGTCCGGCCTATCCTGCGGGCGGGGCCGCTTTTTCAGCTCCGACAAAAGAGGGCTCTCCCCACGCGGCAGCACCCCGACAGGGTGGCCCGGCGGCAAAGACGGCGACGGTGACGCAGCCGCTCCATGGTTCGTCGCCGTAGCAGCAGGAGCAGCGGCAGCATCCCCTGCGGTGTCGCGGGCCTCCCCCGACGCCGCATCGGCATTCGCTTGCAACCAACGCGCCTCCTCCTCCAACTTGTGTCGCGCCCTCACGTGCTGGACGGCGTAGTCCTCATCTAACGGCATTGAAAGCCCCAAGAAGCGACGCATGCGGGCTACGTAGCCAAGCACGTCGTGGTCCACCTCGTACCGACGCTGTCGTTTCACCTCTTGCACCGCCTCCGCCACGTCGAGCTCCTTGCGGTACTTATTGGACCAATGGGTGCTGTCGCGGCGCTCCAGATCGGTCAGCGGCGACCCGTTAATGGCGACCAACTTGTCTTCCATCCACTGGGGGTGGCGTGTGTGGTAGTCGGGGCCTATCACCATCGTAGATTGCAAGCTCGGTCGCTGGCGCTCCTCCACGAAGAAAGTGCGCACGCTGCTGAGGAAACTGCCGATGGTGCCATCTGAGTACACCTCTCCGCCACCAGCGCTGTTGTACGGGATGCCGTGCTTGCTTTCCTTTGGTTTGTCGTCGTCGTCGTCGGAGGGCCGCTCGAGGGGGGTTGCGCCCCCCTTGACAGAGCCTTTGCTGGGCGCCATAACAAACTAGGAGTATCTTAGTGACAAGTTCATGTGTGTGTGTGTGTGGTGTGTGTGTGCGGCGCGAAAAGAAAAAAGAAGAAGAGAACGGTAGAGCTTGGGTGTCAGACACAACGCTTCCGTCGGCAGCGTGAAAGCGAACGAGTGCGAAGGGGGGGGGGGGAAAGGAATCCACAACACACTTTGGAATGCACTTGGCTGGCTGGATGACCAATCCACTCATATATATCACCCGTGCCTGCAATGTTGAGACATTCACATAAAAAGCAGTTTTCCGGGAAACAGAGAATCGAAGACGCTCCCCCGTCAGTTTTATCGCTGCAACAACGAGTGTTCTCGGACGCTCTGAAAGCGGGAGAGGACACCGATGAAAACGAGACAAAAAAAAAAGCTTGGCGGTGAGACCGGGCCGTGCCCAGTCGCAAAGACCCGCTTCTTCACAACAATAACAATCACAACGGTAACCCAATGATCAATGTGGCCCACGGGAGCGGAAACGCCGGTACCAACATAGAAGAACAGGAAGAGAATACAAAGGGAGCCATTATCAATAGCAACAAAAGAAACGTGTTGGACGCAGCGGCAAAGAGAGCACAACTTGAAAACCAATAGAGGCACACACAAGCGCGACGGTGGGGGGGGGGGGGGGTCGGCATTACATGCTGTAGTTGCCACCCATCCACCGCTTCGCAATCATCGCAAAGCGACCCGGATCATCTTTCAGAATCTGCGCCGCCGTCTTCGACACGCCGGGCAGCGGATCGTCGTAGTTCGGCATCACAAAGAGCATTTCAATCGCCACCACCATGTCCTTGATTGTACACGAGGGTAGCCACTCCGTCTGCAGACCCAAGCAGACACCCCAGTCGTCCTTGTTGTCGTCGCCCTCGATGTTCGGGTGGAAGATGCGTTTCGGTCCGGTGTAGCGAACCTTTGGCCCGCTAAAAGGGAAATCATCGGAAAAGACCAGCCGAAAGGCGAAGCTGCCGCCGTTCCAGATGCCGCGCTGCGGGGCGTGGGTAACGTGGATTACGTACGAGTCCATCGCGTCCACCGCCACGGTGCTCGTCACGCCGTCCAGCTTCTGCATGTCGCTGCGAATGCGACTCAGCGCGGTGCTGATGGGGCTGACAAAGGCGGCGGTGGAATGTGCGGTGGAGGAGGACTCCGCCCCACCGTTCTGCTGCTCCTGCAGCCGCTGCTTGCGCTCCTTTGTCAGTCGTGCCAAGCTCATTGCTCAATAACAATAATAATAATAAAGCAGATCCTCAGATGTCTAATGAACGCCAAAAGGGTGCCAGCGAACACGTCCCCCACAAGTAGTATAGGTTTAGCTACCGATAAGACAGAATTTGGTTTTCGGTAAAACCTTGAAGAGTTTTCTGTCTTGATGAAGAGAGTGTGATGGGCACCTCGTGATGCCCTTCCGTGACGCAATGCGACGTGTACACACAGGGGTGAGCACTGCGCACGTGTAAAACCGGAGCACGTGTGTGTGTGTGTGGACGAGAGGAATCGGTTGGAAACGAGAGAGAACATAAAATCTGTTGTGCGCAAGTGAGAAGCATCAGCAAGTCCCTCTCCTCTTCCCTATTTGCATCTCGATCCATCGTTTCCCAGGAGTGACGATGGGGCGTTCAACAGCGGCACGCCGGGACGGATCAACAACGCTGCCTTTGGCGCGAGAGAAGAAGGGAAAAGCCTGACGCACAGACACAGACACAGACACAGACACAGACACAGACACACACACACACACACACACAAGAAGTCCCGAGACGAGCGCACGAAGCGATGATCCGCCTTTTTTTCTCCTTTATTCGTACTCGTTGCATTCCCGCAACGATGATGCTCTCTCTGCAACTCCGCTGCATCCTTTTTTCCTTTTCGTTTGCTCTCTTCTGTTTTAGTGCATGGCACATGGCCCACGATTCCATCTAGGCGAAGCGTGGCGGCAACGGTGGGGGGGGGGGTATGATACAGGAAAAGAAAGCAAGAGAAGATGTATAGGTCCTGATGAAACACAGAGGAGGAGATCTGATGGTACAAGTGAAGGCAGAAAAGTACAACGAAATCAACAGTAAAGAAAACAATCATAGGGAGCGGCTCAGAGGGCAGAGAAAAGGCCGTGAGTTCCGCCGTCCTGAGGAAGGAAATGGCGAAGCAGTCCGACAAGCTTTGGCACTGCCGCATGCAACGCAGGTAGAGGTCTAGAAGAAACAAGAGAAGAAAAACATCAGGTGGCATAAATACGCCTGCAAAGAAACGACGACGGAGAGCAGACAACAACGTGGCGCCACAGAGTACCAAACAACAAACAACATCAACAAGAGACAGGTAGAGAGAAGGGGGGAAACTCCCTCCCTTTCCCAAGAAGCGCGGCGGTTGGCTGGCACCTATCGCAGTTCTACCTCCTCGCTCATAAACGACAGCCCGTCACGGTCCTCGGACGCACTTCGGCAGCGCCCCGCCGCGATGGCTCCTGCACGCGTTCGTGTGGCAGAGCCGCCGACAGCCGGATTGCCACCACCCGCAAAGGGTGACGCGCCCACCGAAGAGGCGCTGGAGGGACTGTAGAAGCTCCGATACAAATGCGGTGACGACTCCCGCAGCTCGCTCGGCGGGAAGCAGCGCCAGAAGCGCAGCGTCTCGTCCGCCGCCGCGGACACCACCGTCTCCCCATCCGCCGAGAGGGCGAGGTGCAGCACGCGGGAGGTGTGCCCAATCAAGTTCGCGATTCGGCGCAGCGAGGGATAGCGCCAGATGCTGAGCTGATTATCGGTGTAGCCATGTGCGGTGACCAGCTCGGTCCCTGTTCGGTTCCACACGACGCCACACACCTGGCTGCCCGTGTTGATGTGATGGACGCACTCCCCAGTAAGGGTGCTCCAGAAGCGGAGCGACTTGTCGTGGGAGCCGCCCCCGCTGACGAGGAGAGCCGGCTGCGACGGGTTCCAGCTTAGCGCCTTCACCGCCGCGGTGTGCTTGTTTAGGTAGAAAAGAGGCTGGGGGGAGTTGGCGAGGGGGTAGGGGGTGGAGGAGGCGGCGCCGCTGCCGCCGCCGCCGTTACTGCTGCTGCTCACCTCAGACCGACCACCACCTCCCCCTGTTGCCAGCTTGCGGCGGTCCCACACGAGGAGTTGGTTATCGTTGCCACCGCTCGCGAGCATCGCACCGGTGGGGGACCACTTCAGGCCGCACACCTCCGTCTCGTGCCCTTGCAGGACGGAGGTAGCAGACGCCAGCGAGGAGGTGGAGGCGTAGGGCGACGACGACGACGACGACGACGTATCCCGCTCGCGCACGTCTCGCAAGACAACGGTGCTGTCCCGGCTGCCCGAGGCGAGCAAAGTACCTCCCTGCGGCTCCCACGAGAGCGACACGGTGCGATCGGTGTGCTGCCGATAGGAGTGCACCATCTTCTGCGCCTCCACGTCCCACACCTCCACCACTCCGCTGTTGCGGCCGACCGCCAGGTGATACCCACTTGGTGCCCAGTTCAACCCGCAGACCAGCTGCGCACTCGGGGAACGGGAGTCGCCAAACGCAGACGCCGGCGCACGCGGCAGCTCCGTGATGCCACACGTCTTGGCGTCCCACAGGTACACGCAGCTCTGCAGCGCTACACAAAGCACATCCGAGGCGACGGACCAGTCGATTAGATTCATGTAGAAGTCGTCCTCCATGTCCGCCGCGTCTAAGATGCGCTCCGGCGTGTTGGGGATGACGCGGAAGGAGGGGGAGGTGAAGTTGCGGGCGCGATTGCACTCGAACACGACCCCGAGGGAGGCGTCGTACCGCTCCCCCTCCGACATGCCGCCCAAATTAACATCGGAGCTCGCTAGCGGGATCCGGCCGAGACCGAAGAGCCCGCCCCCGCCTCCAAGAGCGGCACCGCGACGGCAGCGGTTCTCCGCGTCGCACACGTCCGCCTCCCCTTCTTCGTTTGCCGTACTTGCCCGCCTGCGAGCCGCGTCGCCGCCCTCTTCCTCGCTTCCGTAATTCTCATTGTGCTGCCGGCCGTAGCAGTAGCCATCCTCATCGTTGTCCGCTTCCTCCTCGTTGCAATGGACATCGCTGTCGTCACTACGGGCAGACGCAAAGTGGACGGTCGGATCGGACACGTCAGGTGACATCGGTGTTGCGGGGGTTCGCACGGACGAGCGCAGCGTCGAGGACGCGGAGAACGCAGCCGCCGATGCCGTCGTCGCAGCCGACGCCGCTGCAGCAGTAGTGGTTGGAGGAGGCGGCGGCGGCGGAGCCACCGTGGGCCGCGTAGACGTGTCGTTCACACTCAGCACCGTTGTCTGCGGCATGTCGTTGAAGAGAGTCCGGGCGAGCTTCGAGGTGTAGGGCTCGAGGTCCATCGGCGAGGAGACGAACGAAAACGGTGGCGGGCTGCTGGCGTCGTCATCGCCGCTGCCGCCACCCAGTCCTCCCAGCACCGCTGCCTCTCCGGCCACGGAGGCGGCACTCGCGCTGCGATCTCTGCTGCTCCGCACCGACGGGTCCAGGTGCATTTTCGCAAAGACGCTGCTGAGGCGAGCGCTGCCGGCCCGCGGCAGACTGCTGTGCGGCCGTGGTGACGCCGCTGCCCCACCTCCGCTGGAGGCGCCGAGGTCGACGGCGTATCGCGTAGGCGACGCGTAGGCGTCGTCGAAGGATGTGTCTGTCACCAACGGCTCACGAGACGGGCTGCGCAGGGCGAGTTGGTGCTGCTGGGCGGCTCGGATCAGCATCGGTGTCTTCTGCTCCGTCGAGGTGAGCAGGAAGTGAGCCATGGAGGTGTTCTGACGCGAAGGGGCCGAGACGTAGCGGTCCATCGACGGCTGCAACGAGCGCGGCGGTGGCGGCAGCTGCGGCGTGCACCGGCGACTCAGCGGGGAGGAGGTGCCGCGCAGGCTGGGCGAGGCGAAGGAGGAGGTCGGGGTGCCGCCCGGCCTGCGAGGCACAGGCGAGGAGGGGAACGCGTACAAGGCAGCGCTGCTGAATTGCGTGCCACGCGGTGGCGTTGCTGGTGCGGTGCTCATGCCTGTTCGCGGTTCTTTTACTCTTTTGGAAGAATAGAATTCTAACACACACACGCACACACACACACCGTTTGCGTTGAGACGGATGAAGCAGCTATATCGTTCGCCCCAGAGACTGCTGGAACGGCGTGCGCGTGCGCGGAGGCAGTGGTCAAAACAGCAGAAAGAAGAGAATGTGTCTGAGTGAGCAGCAGCTTATCTAAGAACAGCTATACAGATACAAAGGAAAAAACAGTGCTGCCCTGTAGCTTTTCTCTGCGATTCTTAAAAACCTGTTTGCCTTCAACGTCGTTTCCCGCGGGAGCCTTCCCTTCTTTTTTCGCAGTTGTGGCGTAGCTACGACGTGGTATTAAGTTTTAAAAACAAGAATAAAAACTCACAGTTATACTCGTGCCTTCCAACGCAGCGCGAGAAAACTGTGATGATATCAATCGGCTGAAAAGCCCTGGAAGAAGATGATCTCGTCCCTTTCAAGGAAGAGAACAAGAAGGAAAAAGAAGAAGAAAAGAAAAAGAACGCCAGCGGTGAGCTCTTCGGGTTGTGTAGGTTGGTTTTCGTGTGGGGTGGGAATGGAATGGTTTGAGAGAAACCGGTGAACCCAATACACCTCGAACTGTATTCTGACATGCAAGCTGCAAGACAACTCGTTCGCCCTGTCTGCCAGCTGGGGTGCAGAGAGCATCGGCCGACGCACGTGTGACGGAGCAGAGAAGAAGGGGTAACATATATATATATATATATATATATATAAGGAGAGAAGGAGAGAGTCAA